GTCTGCGAAAAGGTTGGGAAATCTCGAAGAAGAAGTTTTCGAGATATTTGTCTTTAAAAGTAAAACATTTTTATAACATAATAAAGTGTGCTTTGGATAATATCTGAGTAGCGTTGCTATGGTTTTTAACAATAACAAATGAGGATGGCAACAAAATTAATAAACGGAAATAATAACTACAAAAATTGTCTAACATACTCTCGAGCTCGACTAACTAACCCTTTCTGCACTCTCCAAAGCATTTGGATGTTATTTTTTTTCCTGGCTATGGTGGAAAATTCTTTGTCGAAGATCATCTACAGTTTCCACTGGCGTATTGTCAACGCGTCGTTTTAAATCACCCCAGAAGAAGAAATCCATAGGATTTAAATCTGGTGATCTAGCCGGCCACGATACAGGTCCTGATCGGTCTATCCACTGGTCTGGATAAACTCTATTTAGGCGCTCTCTAAGTAATATACTAAAATGAGGTGCGCCGTCGTGCGTAAACCACATATTCATGCGTGTTTGTAATGGAAGATCTTCCAGCAGAGTGGGTAATTGTTTTTTAAGAAATTGTAAATACCTTTGGCCATTTAGTCTAGGTGGTAACTCAACGGCTATTAAATGTTGTCCAATTATTCCTGCCCATAAATTAATTTGAAATTGTACTTGGTGGCCGGTTTGTATTATTGCATGAGGATTTTTGTCTGCATAAATGTGAAGATTATGCGAGTTAATGGATCCATCCTCTCCAAATCCTGCTTCGTCCGAAAATAATATTAACAAAGTAAAACCATTGTCGTGTTTAAACTTCCTTAAGAGCCATGATCAGAATTCTACCCTTGCGGGGTCATCATCCGCGCTTAAACCATGTACTTTTTGTAGGTGGTATAGATGGAGTAGTTGCTCTTGAAAAATGGTATTTAATGTATATTTCGAAACCTGAAATTTTCGAGCTACATTCCTAACCCCAACTGTAGGATTTTCCAAGAGAGCATCTAAAAAATTTTCTTCAACTTCAGCTGTACGTACAATTCTGGGAGCTCCACTATGTCGGTCCATATTTTGAGCAAAACTACCTAAAATTCAAATGGTTTTTACTACTCAAAATAAGGCTATAATCATTTCTTACCAGTTTCTCGTAACCGCTGATCAATTCGTTGGAAAGTCTTTGAATTAGGCAGGTGTACAACCTTCGTGCTTTTAAAGCATTACATCTGGCCAATCCGTACATTAAATGCTTATCAGAATACTCATCAAACGTATAATCCATGATGTTTAACAACTTATTGTCAACTTAAAATTATTCATGAAGTTTAAAGCAATATTATGACATACATTAGAAACCATAGCAACGCTACTCGGATATCATCCAAAGCAACTTGATTGTTAGGTTATAAAGATGCTTTATCATCATGGTACAAACAATGCATTGGAACTTTTAAAAACAAATATCTCGAAAACTAGAAAAAAGATTTTTCGGTCAGTTGTTGTATACAGGGTAGCACAAGAAAGTTATGATAAGTTATTTACAGAAATAGTGCTGTAAGTGGCGACCTCTAGAAGTTTGGCCATACACAATAACGGATTCTTGTTTCTCGTACTAGAACACCCCCCTATACCGAGTTTTATGCCAAAATCTGAAACACTTCTCGAGCAATAATGAAAAATAGAAAATAAAATTGTAACTTTGACATCCTGTATCTCGCAAACTATCAACTTTTGGATTAAGGTTTGTTTAGGTCAATTCACATATTTTGGTCTGTAGGATCTCCAGTTTCGAGATTTCCCAACCTTTCGCAGACACCCTGTATAGTTTATTCACCGAAACAAAGCAGTTACGTCATATTTAGTAAATTTGAATACCAACGTTAATGCAAAATAGATCCTGAATTGGTACGGGTAGTTTGAATTTCCCGGTACATTTATGTTGGTAGCAGTTTTCTGTGTTGTGACATTGTCACAAGGCTTGTCAGTAATTACGCCAACATCTGTTGTTTATTTATGGTTTATTTTCGTTCTTTCTGCCTCAATATTTGCATTGTTATTTTATAAAAACAGTTTTTTTCAAAAACTTTGATGTGTCCTTTTAAGCATTTTGCTAAAATGCCGAAACCTTTGGGTCGGCGAGCAAAATAATTCATTTCTTTGACGGAATATTTTGAGACCGAACGAGATCATGAAGCTCCATTATTGCCTTTACAGTCAGAAAAAGAGATATTAGGTAGTAAATAGAATTTATACTAGCTCTAGCGTTTACAAAACATACGCTCCGTCATGTAAGGCATCGAAGACAAAGTAGATTTTGTAAGACTTCCTAGGATCAAGTAGTATTAATTGATGTGGCAACCATGTCATTATTTGATGTTGAGACGTAACTGCTTTGATTCAGTGAATAAACTATATATAGTCTTGCAAGGGCACGGTCCAGCCAATGACTCTGGGGTCTCTGGTGAGCTACAAACAAAGCACTCCGGACGTCTCTGGCAGGCAAGGGAACTATTATGATAACACAAAAAAATAAAATATCAAAGTGTATTAAACAAGACGCCGCGCAATAAAAGTACAATATAAATGAAACAGGTACACTTTATCTGAAGTCACTTGAAATAGCATAAAAACCTTTGGTCGGCGCGTCCTTTGTAATTTCATGACGTATCATAGGCGTGCGGTCATTTATTTAGAACGATAATAATAATGTTTTTATATCACAATAAATGGATTTTACTATCTTCTTATTTTTTGATTTGGGATAAAAAATACTTATATTGGGAGTTTAATTTATGTTGACTGAAAGTTAAGAAATGGAAAAATTACAGAATTCCAACGTTTGACATAGGCAAATATTTACATAGCAGGTAGGTATATAAAAAGGTATATAAAGACTTACATTATAGGTATTTATATATCATCCTCGCCTTCGGAGCTGTCGCTAGAGTCATCTTGTAGAGGAATTACAACGGGATTTACAGGAGGCAAAACACAATATTCATTTTCTTTTTCAATAATATGCCTAGAACACTGCTTCCATAGGTCTGTGGCAGCAATATGAGATACTGCATCTCTTATTGTGGCCAATAGCGATTCACTTAATTGAGGGGTCTGATTATGTTTTCTTACTTTCTTTTTAAAGCAGCCCAGACCAACTCAATCGGGTTAAAAATGCAGTAATAGGGAGGTAGACGTAATACTCCATGGCCATTTTGCTGAAGCAGATTGTCGACAAAATACTCTTTTTCAAATTTTTGTCTTTTAATAAGATCCAATAATATGGCTTTGGTTGATTTTTGTGGTATTTCCATTCCCTTATCTTTCATAAAATCAATAATGTCTTGTTTTTTTGTGCCTGTATTCGGAATTTTGTTTTTCTGTCGGGAATGGTATGGCGCATTGTCCATAATAATCACTGAATTTGGGGAAATGTTTGGTATTAACTGCTGCTCTATCCACTTTTCAAATAAGTCGGAGGTCATGTCCTCATGATAGTCGGCACATGATTCTTTGATATTTTTGGCAGATAACAGCAAGGCATTAGGTATAAATCCATTTTCACTGCCAGCATGGAGAATAATGATTCGTTTTCCACGGTTGCATGGTGCATTTAAAATGCACTTGTTGCTGTCGTCAACCCAGCCGTACTGCACAACATCATGGGTATCATACCACGTTTCATCCAGGTAAATCAGATTTCTTTTCTGCTCTCTATAGATTTTAACTTTGTGCAAAAATTCTTGGCGCAATTCAACGATTCGAGACGACTCCATAATCACCATTCTTTTATCTAATTTTTTGTATTGAAAACCACACAGTTTTACAATACAGTGCAGTGAGTCTAAGCATTTGTAATTATAAAAATCTTCAGGATAATCTTTTAATTTATCCCGTATCATTTCCAACGTGGGCACCAAATTTTCTTTATAAAATCCGTATATTATACGACGAATATCTTCCTGAAAACCCACGTCTATTCTTTTTAATTTTTGCCCTATGCGCTTTCTTTGGAAGGAATGGTTGACTACATCTCCCCTTTTTATAACCCGATAAATGGTAGACCGACTGATTTTTTTCAGGATACAAATTCTGTTTAAAATTTGATTTTGCGAGGAATCTGGATTTTCGTTTTTCAAACAATCATACATATTTAGGATTACTCTTTGGGTCTGTTCCTCTAAATCTTTATGGAAGAATTCTGCCTGCACAGGTTCATCAACCATCTCCTCGTGGCTTGGAGCATTTTCCCAAGGTCTCCAAAGAGCCATATTTAGGACACACAAGAACAATTAAATCAACAAGTAAACGGAGTATTCAAAAGTCAAAAACACACAAACTAATAAAATCTATGAAAAAACACGGACAGACTAAAGAAAACACGTTTATTCACCGTTACACGGCACTGGCTAAACTGTTTCAATTTTCAGTAGCCGCCTGCACTTGTTCGGAGCTCTGAAATACACGCTTTCTCATTGGCTATGTCCACGCATAGGCGTGCTTTACTCCACGTGGACCGGTGAAACTGCCTTTGATCTTATACGGGGGATATTTGCTACGAAATTTGGCGATTTTTGCAGCAACAGAGCGTGTTAAATATAGATATATAAAACGCACCCGGTATTTCACAGTGTTTCAAGTGACTTCAGATAAAGTATACTTACTTTTTGGCCCAGAAAGGTCCAGTCCCACGAAGAGAGATTCGCCTTGAGTGATCCCAGGGCAGGAATAATCTCACGTGTTGGCCCATCCAATTTTTGATGAACCGGCGGCGAATAATACCCCCGTTGCAGATTATGGCTTATTTGCCGACGACGTTCACATTTCTCAGCGGATGCGGCTTAGGGTATCTACCTATATGGCGCGTGTAAGGTGCTGCAGGGTGATAACTCGTGGAAATAATTTGCGTTTGTTGGTTAGAGCTCCAACTGGACATAACTCTTTAAGGGGTTAATTCACAGTATGGGGGTTGTTGATGACTGGCTTTGTGGGCGATGTGGTAATAAGGAAAAGTTCTGTTTCCATTTTAGGTCCCTGTGAGTCTTTAAGGTATCATAAGCAGTCTAGTTTACTAGATCCAGAAGGATTAAGGATAGTAAAAGGTCTGTGCCCAGCAGGGATTGCAACTCTCTATCTACAATCCAAAATGGTTCTGGTTCCGTGTAGAATCTCGGATAAAGCTGCTGTGAGTTCAAATGCTCACTAAAGCACGCGTTGGACTAACGAATCTCGACAAGAAGCAGCGATTTATTTTGTATGAGTAAATAGGCATCTTTATGTATATTTTTGTTTTTTATTTGCAGACTAGACATAATTAAGATTTACGTTGGATTATAGTAAATTATAATATACGGTTATATAATCGATGATTATAACAAGGATACCCGGCAATTCATCGATGTTATGGGTTCATTAACCATAATTATGAACAATTTTACACATTATGTATGAACTCTCGACTTTGAAGTATCTATTGTTGTATATAGTGTTACCTCTCACTATATATGCATGATTAGACAGGATCACATACAAGTATAATTATTCTTATAATTACAAGCGCATAGCAGATGTTCAAAAAAACCTGGTGTGATATTAGTTGAAGATACACATCTCCATATTTATTCGCTAGAAAATTCATCAGTTATTACAAGCTTTTAACTGGACCTGTCTGTATATACAGGGTGACTTTGAAGTTGAGTCATTAATTTTCAGATAATGATTGGAGAAGGAAGATAAACCAAAATATGTGTGTAAAAATAAAAAAAATGTTACCTTATTTTATAAAGTATCCTCCCGACAAGTATTTCAGTGCGGACCTGTATTTGATCGCGCGGTCTTGGAGCACCAGCATGCCCTCCCCTGTGAGGTCTTAAGTCACCTGATTCACGAGCCCTTTGTACTACATTAACAAAGGCACGAGAGGTTGGTTGCACTCGATTGGGAAACCGATCCGCATAAATCCGTGATGCCACGGCAGCATTTTGTAAAGACTTCCCCCACCCCCCCCCCTCCCCCCGTAAATAAGAATCATGTCCACAATTTCACCATTTTCGTAAACATGTGCCATTTTTTATTTCGTTGGAGCCACGCAACAAACACCACTATTCACTCACGCGTTACCGACTGACACATCGACTGAATACAACTAAAAACATCGTGATAAGCGTTTCAAATTCTTTCGCTTTTTTGTTTCCGATGAGATGAACCGATAAGACGGATTATATCCGTTGTTGCCATACACGAGCATATAATATTATTATTGAGACAGGGCGGTACTCAAACTTCTAAAGGGCTATAACTTTGTTACTTTCATTTTACCAGAAAAATGTTAAAGGAAAAAACATTTCTTTTAATCAGATCTACTCGCTGTTAAAATAAATGACTCAACTTCGAAGTATGTGTGGAACATATCTTGGAACTGAATTTTGAATCTTAACCCATTGTACGTGCTATTATAAATGTATCGCAACTTCTATCATGTTGAAGTTGAATAATTCAGTTCTTGACAGAGTTGAACAAACAAAGTTCTTTATACTTGACGCTTGTTCGTGGGTTAAAAATAATCATACTAAGCTCACATACATTGAGGATCAGCAAAAATACATCCTTCACAAAAGAGACATATCTGTAGCTAATTACAATCTAAGCACTTATCGTACAAGTCCTGAGTATACGTGTGGTATCAATTACCTAATGATATCAGAACCTTGGTTGCTACTAACCCTCTCAAAAAATGTGTGCAAGCATTTTTAATAGAAAAACGTTATTATTCAATTAACGACTTTTTATCGATTTTGACTTTCATCGTGCATAATTGTTGTTTCATTGTGCCTTATTGTCGTGATTGTAATGACGATATTTTATTATTATAATCTTGTATTGTAATAATTGCTGTAACCTGTATTTTGACGTTTCACGTCACGCTTTTGTGTTGGACTGATTCCATCTCGGAGGCTGCATTTTGACAGTAGTGACAAGAATAATGAGGCATACTCTAGTTTGGTTCTTAAAAAAGATATATATATATATAGAAATGTCCCACATTTTCATGAATAACAACTGTATCAGCAAAAAGACAGATGTTAAGCAACTGAGTGTCATTTACTCATATTTGCTAAACTGCGAAAAATTGCAAAACTTACATATCTCCCCAAATTTTGAATCTTCACAACCATAAATGGAATCTGTTTCTTGGTCGATTCCACCAATAAACTTCATTCCATTCTAATAATTTTCTTCTCACGATTTAATAATAATTGTTAATTTAATTTCCCATTAATTAAAATATAGTTAATTCAACTGCCTCTGGTCGGCTTAACAATTTCTTACATAACATTATGAAAATCACATCATCTTAAGTGATTTGGCAACGTTGGTCACACGCCCACAATTCGTTCCTTTTTTCTACACAGACATTGACAACCTTCGGCCTTCTGTCAAAGGGTTCATCTCACTCATTATTCCATGACCACCATTTTGTGCAATCATCAAGTGGCTTCACGATGTAATGCTTTCATGTTTTTTAAAAAAATTTTAATCTGTTTTTAACTTGGTCTTGTCATATTTTATATAATTTTGACCATTGTACCATCTATCCAGCTTTCACCATGTTACTGGACGTTTCACTCATCCTATACGTAAACAACAATTAGCAACATCCTCACATACTACTGTAAGTTAAGTCAATTTAAATTCATTTTACACCATTGTTGCTACTGTTATCATTGTAATTGCAGCTCCTGATGATGATGGCAAAGTCCATTGAAAGTTAGAGAGAATTAAAAAAGTATAAAGAGTCCTCTTTGCTTAAATTTTGTCGAAGTACCCAACAAAAGGCGGAAGCTTTAATTTTTCACCTATATATATATATACTGTTTTGATAGTTCTCATATCTGCAAGGCTCGATCATTTCTAATACAATATCATAATACCTTATTTGACTTTGCAACCAGTTCTCTTGTGTCCCGCAAAAATTACCTCTAAGAACGTAAACCAACAAACTGACCCAGTATTGATCATTCATTATAAAAATTAGTATCTACCAATTCAAAGGCTTTCTAATATTAATTTCCTACCATTTAAGAACCTTCTAGTACTCGTAGATATTGGACACATGCTTATATGTATGCTTAAATCATTTTAACTGTTGATCTGTCCACTTTCATAAGAGCTATAATCCTTAGTTTAGCAAGTAAGTAGAGGTTAGTATCAGTCTAATACCCATGAAGTGTTGCTTGATTATATTGCCAACACTCAATGTCAGCAATAGCCAGTAGCGAAGTAAGTTCAATCTTCTGATTGCTCCTAAGATTAAATACTGTTCTAATTGTCTAGGCAATTTTCCTCGTCAAAGACTTTTAGTTCCTTGTGAAAGTAAACTAATTTTCTTGAAACATTACCTTCAATCTGGTTTTATGTCTCTATTTTTCATACGTGTTGTTCATTTTGTCTTTTAGACAGTGAGATCTCGTACAATAGATTGTCTTTCAGTGGATAAGACAATAGCCATCAATCTGATGGAACTTACAACTACTGAAGAGTGGCCAGAAGATATTAGGTACAAGTCAAAAAGCGGCGTTCAATCAAAAAATAATGGGGCATGGTTGAATATCTCATTTGAATAATATGCTAGTTATATGTTACGTAAAGTGAAAGAGAAAGATTTGAGATACAGGGTAAGTGTATTACACTCGGCAGTAAAGGGTTTTCGAATAACGATGATATAGAATAAAACAAGATGTATGTGAAACATTGATGGAATCCTTTTTTATGTTTACTGATTTAAACGGAATGTCCCATGTTTTACCATACATTCAGATAGGCAGATCATTCCAAGAGAAAAAGGTTCATGCAACATAGCGTTTTGAATCATAAGATACACATGATAGGCTTACTTTAGTGAGGTTCATCGATAATCAAGGTCCTCCATATTTTTGTGTATAACATGTAGAAAAATGACTTTTAAAAAACTATGAAATGAGGGAAGACTGATAGGATGGGGGAATATTTTTTACATTTTGATGCTGAATTTCAATAAAAAACTTAACTTAATTTATTACTAAATGTATCGAGAATTGTTTTATACTTAGGGCTTAGGCGACATCCTCATATTTTTATCCTTCTCTAAGAAATGAACAACATCACCCTTAACTTTTAGCATTTTGGAGCTAACTTTTATGAGTACAGTACTTTTTGTACGTATCGTTTTTGAAAAAATGCTTCGATATATATAGCAATGTGTATTTTTGTACTAATTGCAGCTTCGGCATTTTGTAATATTTTGTCTTTTCTCCACGTTCACTTCCAAGATCTTCACAGATATTCTTAAGGTCCGTTGACAGTGCTTCTCGGAAAATGAGTCTTTTTCTTACAACGTCAGGATCTTGTATATTATTTAAAAGCGAAGACACTTTAGTTGGTGGAATAGGCCAGTATTTTTTGTTTTCAATCTCAAACACCTCTTCTTATATTTTTCGCTAAGCTTGACTGCGTTCCTTACTTTATTTTCCAAACCTTTAATCTTCGCGTACAGAATAGTTCGCCGCTTGCGCATTCTACGTCTGTTGAGAGCAGAAAAATTCTCTGCTCTGTGCTGTAAAGACGGTGCAGGACTTGGTGGGGGTGTTTCTTCAACTGTTCTCTGTACATTTTTTTTGTAATGTAACTCGCTATTCAATATAAACTTTACTATTCTTTTTCCATTGTTTTCGTTTTTGGCTAGTTTGTCTTGCACTCATAGAACTTATTCAATCAACTTGACTCTTCTCTTTAAATACTTCAATTATTTCTTTTTCACGCAAAGCTTCTAAAGACTCATCATTAATTTTCATTTGTTCTCGCCTCTTTCTGTCGTACTCCTTCTTTTTTAATTTATTTTCTTCTTCAATTCCTCATTTTCCTCATTCTTGATATACGGATACCTGTTAAAATTGAAAACACATGCTATACAACCTGGAGTTTTACATCCAAACCACAATTTTATATATGCAAAAATCATTGCCTCACTTTCTAATATAGTGTATTTTTTGTGTCAATATATTACCTAAATTTTTGCTTTTAAAATATTAGTGTAGATACTTATCGATATAATAAAAATGTTAAATTGACGATAAATCCATGCAACTTAGCATCAATGGCTCAGGACAAGATTTTCGAAATTTGCTGAGAAATAGCCATAGGTATATAGAAACCCATTTCTCTATCCAAGTACAAACGACCACAATTCAGTATTTTTGAGATACTGTGAAAATTTATATCACAAACTGCAAAATTTGAACTAAAATTTCCACACATGGCTAATACTGGTAGCTTTAGAAGCAAATTAGTTCTAGCTCTCTCACAATTAAAGGTTTTGATCTTTCTAGTTCTCAAACTGGCATCTAAGTTATTAACAGTTTATACAAAATGGATAAAGAATTACATGTTCGTCTTAGATCCCGACTGTCTTATCCAAATCTACTCGTAAATTTCTGAGGATTTGCTGTTGAGTACATGTAAAAAAAAGTAAATTTATACATTAGGGTTTTAAGGTACTAATCTTGGATTCTTTACTTTTCCGTTCAAATATCGTATTAGTATATACATCAATTTCACCATCCCGAAAATTTAAAACATCAAGTGGTGGATTTATTTCAAAATTTGTAAAATCGTTTTGATGTCCTGAAGTTTTACATGATCCGTTTTTCAAACATATCTAACTATAAATTTGTTTCTTATGAAAATTGTAATAATGAGGGAAAAGTTTCTAATAAAATATCTAGTATCCTACCGAAACGAAAAATGAAACCGAAATTTCGACCTTACTTTAGTTTCGGCAGAAACCGAAACTTATCGAGAAATATGGACTTCTTCTGGGGGTTAGACAGTGTATCCCTAAGAAAAGAAAGAAAAAAAACTTAATAGAACTCAACAAACAAAATAAGTTATTTCAGATTAGTTCCTCACCTTTGATATTACGCTGCGTCTAAAATTAGGGCAATAGTTTCCTTTTCAATCGTTTCAGCATATGGAATAAAATGAAAGACGATATGAAAAGAGTAGATACCAATAAAATACAAGAAAAAATGTGTCTGAAAATTCATTATCTGCACATAAGATGAGTAAAAAAATTATAGGTAAAAGAAATATATCAGCCCGACTACTTCCGAAGGCACCAGAAAACTTACGAACGTAATTTATGTTGCGGTTTATCTTCGCCGAAAGTTAAACTAAAGCGAGTCTCTGATTTTGGACTGAAACCGAAAGTTTGGTTGGAAGAAAAATCTCATATAAGGAACTATCATAGAATCAGAAGATACTTCATTCGAACTTTGCAGAAACATCCTCAACACAGCACCTTGACGAACCGTTTACAAAAATTTCCCTCATTTCAATAAATTGTAGCCAAGCATAACGTTTTCAAGTATCTTAGTTCTATGTAAATGTCTGGTGCATCTCGTATCAGAACCTTTAGGAAAGACAATTTATGATTGTCGTTTTCTTTTATCATTTATAGACGTAAAGCTGTGTGGGATCCTATGTAATAACGTACCGGTCATCCCACGCTACTTTTTAGAGCGGCTTAAAAATCATCCGAAGACTAAAATTAACCTTTGTTATGTTCAGAGGTGAGATTATAGCACGGACATTTTACATGCCTCAGTTGTAACTGATTATTATAGCTTAGAATAGTTTGAAATGTTCTAATTCTAAAGGGGGTCAGAAACAGGACATAATATATGTCTCAAAACATGATGTAAAATACCATTTTTCAACCGCCTGTTCCCGAATCGTGATTCGCAGATCTTCGAGCAAGATTTGCTCAATCTTCGCCACAACTTCTCGGAGATCGACGACCTCCTGCTTCGTTGTTCATCGCGGATGTCTTTTCACCGTTTGAGGACATGTTGAATGCTTATGCACGTTTCCCCATATACTTCACTCAAGTGGCGATGAATTGCTGTGGGTGGTAACGTTTTTGCGCCCGGTACTGTGCATCGCAAATAGGCGCTTCTTGTTGGGATCGGTGGTGGAGCAGCCGATAAACACGAAGTGTTGCCAGATTTCGCCTAGCATCACGTGCTGGGAACCTTATTTTTGAGACAACCCCTGTATGTTCATAGGAACTTTTTTCTCAAAACGACCTGACGAATATCGTCTGCAGTTTCGTGCTGAAATTACTAAACACCCTGCATGCTTATTGTAAAACAATGATTAAAAAATTGTATTTACTATGAAGGCATTACAATTATCAGAGAGTAATTCGATTATTCTCAATTTTTCCACTTAGTATTCAGTTAGTATTTTCGCAAATTCAATCCTGAATTGCTTTTTTGCACATTATCAGGGAGCACCCTGTATATCAAGCGGCCTATATACTCGAACACCTACCGAAATTCCTAATTTAACTGACCTATAATGCTAGTTACGTTCCTAGACTGGTGCGCTTGACACCTAAGAAGAATTATCAATGCGTTTTAAAATAAACTTAATCTTTCTGAATGCATCTAAGATTAAACAGTGGTTAAATATAGTGTCTGCTGCTCCAATTTTCTAAGCAATTTTCTTTGGTAAGGAATGTTTGTTCTCAGTGAAAGTTTACTAATTTTCCTGAATGATTACATACAATTTCAGATTTATGTCTTAGTCGTCTGTCATATGTCTTGTTTTATTAGCTATATGCAATTTTAATATCAACAGGCATCATGGAGTTTTGGAATGAAGTAGCTTGCAGCAAAAAGCATTTGATTTACATGGACTGTTTGTTAAAAATGATGAAGCGTAGTAACTAGGCCAGTTTGGTCATTTCTTGTCGAGCTCAGGTACAACAACTCAACTAGCATTACAGTTTGATGCCAGAACTTCAAGCAAAGTAACGATATCCGACAAGTCTTCTATATCAAACTCCATCATGCCAAGTATCTTGGTCACGACATACCTGCCTAGAAAGTGGAATGATGTTATATTCTCTCCGCAGCGTCTGACGTAGATGGAACCTTTCATATTACCTTGAGGGACATATACATATAATTCCAACCAGAAGACTGAACGACTGTTCAGTAGTCATACCAATCGACGGGCTTGCTATGAACTTGGCAAGGGTGAATTTAGAGAGCAAAGCTGTGGATGTACTTGATTGTACATGAAAGGAGGTGGTTGATATATAAGAGAAACAGTGTCGGAGCCAAGATCGATCCCTGGGGAACACCCGCGTTGACGTTGTGGGATGAAGAGGAGAACCCGTCAATTACGATGGATATCTTGCGGCCAGAGAGAAAGACACCCATCTGCAAAGATACTTTGGGAGGCCACTATTAGATTGAATGAGCTTACTCGACAATTGCGTACCGAAAGCTAGGAGGTGGGGAGGTCCCCTGTGGATCGCTGGTGCCGGAAACCATACTACCTGTCGTTAATCAAGCCGTGACGTTCGCGGTTCTCCAGAATCTCCCGAGTTCTGCCTTATATCTTGCTAGAGTCCAATCGTGATAGGTGCGCTCCTTGCCTCAGCTTTTCAATTTTTAATCGCCGACAACCTCCGAACACCACTCCTCCCCACCCAAAGACAAGCGTCCTGAACATGAAAGCTGTGACCACCGCTGCGCCCCCTAGACAGGAATCTAAATCCGCTCCTTCTTCTTGACCTGTCTATCCACCAATAGTCGTGTCTGCCAAGCCATGCTTCTGTCTGTGTGCTAAGTCGTCCAGGGCAATGTTAACCTGCCAGTTAGTCCTCCTTCTCTGTACCTGTTCAGCTACCCGCATTACGCTCACATTTTGAGCCTATTCCTCTATTTCTTGGTAAAACGCTAACCATTATGTTGATTTTCACTCGACATGCAGTACCATTCATTGTCCTTGAAGCTAGGTGGGAATATTTCTATTAAAATATCCTTGACCGAAGTATCAATGTGAATATCTGTCCGAATCACCCTAAAAAAAGTCAGAGCGACACTCGTAATGAAATCCTGGATCGAAAGCTTTACGCGCCAATGCCTAATAAACTGAGCTACCGTAACGTAAACAGTCAAGATGCAATGGTCATATCTCATTGGTCGGTGCACTAGGTTTTTATGAGGAGATGAATTACACTTAGATTTCGTATCGGTCGGTATTAATTGAATGAGATAGTGTAATGACATCATTCATGCCTGGTTGCACTTCCTTGCTAAGGTCGACTTTAAGTTGATCCTTAATATAGATATTATTATTCTATATAGATCTACGACCGAATAATTCCTCTGCTAACGTGGATTTTCTAACCTCAAATTGTATTTGGTATTGACAACTCAACTGCCAGTACGAGAAATTACTGTTTTTTGGATGTTTGATATATGGACATAGATATCGCCAAGAGCGATCCCTGGGGAATACCCGTTGTCGTTGTGAGATGCAGGAAGCCGTCAATTATTACCGATATCTTGCGACTCGAGAAGAAGTGAGCCACCCATCGACAAAGCTTTTCTGGGAGCCGATAGGATGGAAGTTTGCTTAAGAGGGCAGCGTGCCACAGCTGATCGAACGCTTTCGTGATTTCAAGAGCAACGACTTAAGACCATAAGACCATAAGACTGGATGAGTTTACTCCTCAATTGCGTGACGTAAGCTAGGAGGTCCCCCGTGAATCGCTGATGCCGAAAATCATATTGCCTGTCGCTAATCAACCCATGATTTTCTAAGTTCTCCAGAAGCTCCAGACTTATGACCTCCTCATCACCTTACTACAGAAGGCAGCGTTATAGGCCTGTAGTTGTAAGGGTCAGTTTTAGATCCGTTTTTGAGATGGGTTGGACATAGGCAAATTCCCAGTTTTCTGAGAAAGAGCCGGATTCTTAAGATGTCTGGAATAGACGCGAAAGAACTGGAGCAAGCTTCGCTGCACATATCTTCAGTACAATAGCAGGCATGAAGTTTGAGAAGCTTTGTTGATGTCGAGCGACAAGTCTTACGGTCTAATGCCTGGATGTTACTTCCCGGATAGTTGAGAGAATTCTTTGAATCGCCGGCACTCGGACGTTGGGGGGGGGACGTTAGCCTTTGAGAAGGCTACTCTGTTTGGCCAGCATCCAGAAAGATCCCACAGGTGGAGTCCCTCTGGCATGCAAACAGCGAGTTATGGAACGAATCTTGCATTTGGCGGGGTCAAAGATAGAAAGCTCCATATTGGAGTCTTTTGTGAACATTATTCCTGGATCAACCCTCGTGTATATTCATTGCGAGCTTGCAAATATCTCCTGCGCTATGTCGGTATTATACGACCTCATTGAGTTTTCTGAATTACCCTCATATTCCTCCGTCCACTTACAACGCATTGTAGCGAGTGTGAAGGCACTTTAATAGTCCTTATATTGAATCTTTCAATGCCCTATTCAGTACTGTACTGTAAGCGCTACCGCGCCATGTAAATGCTCGGCTTAATGACGGTCTATTATAGAATAATTGAAAGCTTCGGTTGAAAGACACATGTGGCTAGTATAAACAGACCGATCTCTTGCTATTACATCCCAGTCGAAGATTCAGCTGCTGTGGAAAATGTTTGTACAACAAACTTTCAAAACATTTGCTTTCTTGACAGAGACGATATGTCAAGGCGACCTATTATTAATTCTGTGATCTTAAAATGGTTGTTTCTGTGGTTTATCGCGCCCTCTCTATATACAGGATGTTGTGAAAGTTTGGATTCTGCCTTCCAGAAACTGGTACATTTGAAAGCAATTTACATTTGTTAAAAAATTTCAAGTACCGCTTTGTCACATTTGCTCATAAATACTGTTCGCCGTTCTATCAAAAAAGGGTTGTTGACTTTTTTCATTTGCTAAAATTTAGGTCGGTGGATGGGATCGCCCAGGAAGGTGACCTGAATACATTTTCGATACATCTTGAAGGCAGTACTC